GGGCCGGAGCCAGCTGGAGCACTTAGTGGAGTACGTCGCCAGCGAGACGTCCCTGTCGGACATCAGGTTGTTCCTGGACGTGTGGTGGGAGGTGATGAAACACAAGGAGAGCCAGGAAGACGCAATAGTCTCTGCGTTCAGCGCTCTTATACATCAGCACGAGCGTGAATCCTGTCTGGATGATGGTCTCCAGCCCCCAAAGAGGTTCAAGGGTGACCCTGGCTCTCTGAATGACCCCCCCACTGTCACCAGCCTGCTCACAGTCCTGATGGAGGGGTTAAAGCAAACCTACGGGAGCATCACCCTGCCTGCCCTGAGGTGCTATGGCTTGGCCAACATGGTGGAGCTGCTGTCCATGTTCACTGAGCTAGAGCCGGAGAGCAGTGCCCTCCCGGCTGCAGAGTACCTGGACAAGGTCAGCTCTGTGGTTGGCCTCTGGACCAGCAACACTGAATGCCAGTTCCACCACATGGGGCTGAGCGAGAAGGTGAAGGAAGCAGAGAGAAGCCTGAGCTTCATGTCCACAGCCAAGCTCTCTCGTGAGGAGCTCTTTGTTGGCTTGGGCTTCCTCCACAGCTTGTTGTGTGCCTGGGGAGAAGAGCTGCGGGGCACCCTGAACAGTTCTGAGCTGCTCTGCTACGAGAGCTACCGGCTCCTGGACACGCTTACCACCTTTGGGAAGAACCTGGTTTGCTTCTCAGAGACTAGAGACCTGGGTAAGAATGAGACACGTGTAGTATTAGAGCTGACACAGATCACCAAGGACTTTCTCACAGAGACCAGTGCTAGCCTGAAGAGCAAGGATTCAGACGCCAGCCTGGTGTCTTCAGTTGCCATGACAATCATTGAGCAAAAGCTGGACCGGCACATGGAGATGTGCTTCATTTTTGCTTCTGAGAAGACCTGGGCCTTTTCAAAGGACTGGGTTAACTGCCTCATGAAAAATAAAGCTCTCTTCCAGAAACCAGAACTAGTTTTGAAATTGCTGGAGACGCTGGTGGACTTTGCTGTGTCCCACCAAGACAAGGAGGGCCGAGAGCTGGAGATGCAAGTGACCCAAGCCATTGTGGAGTGTTACACTGAGCTGTCTCTAGCCGACAAAAACAAAGTGATCTCAAGTGTCCTGGCATCCTGGGGCGGAGCAGGTCTGTCCCTGAACTTGCAGAGTGTCACGGAGGGCTTCCAGGAGGATCTGAACGTGACTTTCAACCAGATCACGAAGAGTGTGTCTGATGAAGGCCTGACCAGGGCTGTGGCGGCTGTGGCCAGGCTCACGCTGCTGTACCCCGAGGCCACAGTGAAGCAGGTTTGTAACCTTGCTGTAGTCAACCATGGAGCACACCCGTTCCTGGCGCAAATCCTCTGCTCCTTCCCAGCACTGAGCTTCCTGGAGACCCGCAACGATCCAGGCAGTCCACGCAGCCTGGTGGGGAGGTGTCTGGAGGAGGCGGTGTGGGGGAGGCTCTCCACTGCGAGGGAAGAGGAGCAGTTCCTCGAGTTCCTGTCCTTTCTCATGCAGCCAAGCTCAGCCACTCCACTTGTGTCCCCTGCAGAGGTGACCAAAGTGTTTGTTCTTCCCTATTTGAAATCTGACTCTGCTCAAATTGAGCTGAGCCTGCAGATCCTCAGTAAGGTTTTGGGGGTACAGTCCTGTTTGGAAGAGCACTGGATCAAGTCTTGTCACCCGTTCCCGCTTCTCCTCAGCCTCTGCAAGCTTCTAGATGGTTACTCAAAGTACTGGCATCAGCCCAGGGACCAGCTCTTTCCTTCCCTGGAGACCAAAGACTTGATCCTGAACATCCTCTGCCAGCTCTGTGAGGTGGTGAGACCAGAAACTGCCTCCTCCCCTGAGCTGTGGGTCCAGTCACTGGCTTGGCTTCACAGGAGGGTGGCCTTGCTGGACTGGACCGTCGGTCTTCGGCTGAAGAAACTTTACGGAGACCACTTCAAGAACGAGGTCCCAGCGACACTGTTTGAGATCTGCACGCTTCCTGAGGATGAGTGGACGTCCCGGGCTGTGCCGGCTTACGGACCGGGCAGCGGGCTCCTGGCGTGGATGGAGTGCTGCTGCGTGTCCACAGCGCTCAGGGAGACGATGCTGACACTCCTCATGGTCAACGCGGACAACCCTGAAGAAGTGAATCTTTTCAGCAAAGGGTTCCTGGTGGCCCTCGTTCAGGTCCTCCCTTGGTGCAGCCACAGCGAATGGAAGAGGCTCATGCCCGTCGTCGAAAACCTGCTGCAGAGACAAGTCTTGCACGTGCCGTACACGCTGGAGTACGTGCAGTACATGCCCCTGCTCAACCTCAGGCCGTTCGCCTGCTCCCTCCAGTTCTCCGTCCTCTTCCTGCGGGGCTTCCAGCTGCTCTGCAGCTCCAGCTGTTCCACCTGGCTGCCGGCAGAGGCTTGGCTCCACGTGGTCCAGCTGTACTGCGGCAGCCTCACCGCCCTGCTGGGCTGCGTCAAGAGCGCGGCAGGGCCCCCCGGGCCCCCCGCCGAGGACAGGACCCCCACGCAGGAGGTGTCCTTTGTCTGCATCCAGATGTTCTGTCACCTGCTGCACGTCGCTGCCATGCTGCCGGACAAGGGCTGCTGCGAGCCACTGGTGGTGGTGGCGTTGGAGATCCTCTCTCAGTACGAGACGTTCAGCAGCGCCGATACGGCCCCCAGCAACGCGCTGCGGAGAGCCAACGAGAGGCACTTCCTGGAGTCCATCACGGACAACGTTGGGGACGAGGCGCTGCGGGGCACCCTCCTGCAGAAGCTCAGCAAGCTGGGAGCCTGCTCGGCCTGAGAAGCTGGAGAGATGACAGAGGAGAGCACTGACCCTGTTTTAGGGGACCCCTGACATGGAAAGCTGTAAGATCTGTAACAAACCCTGTTGATTTTTCTCTTTTGAACTGATTTTCTTCCTGCTGTGTTTTCTTTCAACCTGTCTAAGCAGTGAAGGGGCTGGGTAAAGATGGGTAGGAACAACCACTCTCTAATTTCCCAGCAGGAGTAGCTGCAGACACAACTGTTCCCGAGCTGAGCTGCGGGTCCCCTGGCTCCAGCCTTGCCAGTCTGGATTTATACAGAGAGCCCATCAGCCTCCAGCATCAGGGAAATCGGTTCCCTCTGGCTCCCAATGCTGCCAGCCCTCCCCTAGTCCCAGGTGGGTAGCTGGGTTCGCCACGTGCTGCTGGAGGCCAGGAAGTGAGGTGGGTGAGTTCAGGACAGGCAGGAACCTTTGGGAATATGTGTGTGTTGCTTCTGCCCAGAGGTGGGGGTGCAGTGGTAACCCCATGTATTAACACCCCAAGTCCAGAAATGAGCAGCACGTGGGACAGACAGCCAGTGGTGTAACTCAGAAAAGAAATCTTGATTGGTCTCCTGATAGTAAGTAGGGCAGTGTTAGTGCAAACTGAGATGCCTTGTTGGCCACTTTTTTTTTTGTCTTTACATAAGGCACATTATTTGCAATGAAAACAGCAAGATACAAACACCTGTATCAGGTTGTGAGTGGTTTGTAACATCAGCTGGTCGTGATTGTTAGTGTAACAGTTGTGTTTCTGCAATAACTGGCCTCATCTTGGAAGAGGCCCATGAACTCCCGAAGAACTGGGAGACAGCCCCACTCGCTGCTGCAGGGGAAGTGGAAGATTTGGGGGGAACTCCGGCCCCAGCAGGTGACTGAGGTGACCCGCAGCCAGCAGATGTGGCACCTCTGGGGACAGCTTGAAGGCAGAGGGTGTTGGTGCCCCACAGCCCCGGGGATCCCTGGTTCCAGACCCACACATGTCGGTGGGCCATGTGGGATCTGGTGATAAAACCACCTGGGCTCCAGATCTTCAGTTCCCACAGAAATGGGCTTTTTTGGATCAAGGAGGATCTGGTGGTTGCTTCCAGCAGCTGTCAGAGCATCCCTGGGGAGTTGCTGGCCTGGGCAGTGCCAGACACTGGGCATGGGGACCATGATGGGGACTCATGTCCCCCAGCCTCACCTTCTGTGCCACCCACTGCAGCTTCTACTGGGTGTCAGGGAAGAGGAAGCCGTAGAAGGCCCCTTCATCAGCCCCTCTCTGGCCCAACCTGCTGGCGTGGATCAGGGGTTGGCTGCAGGAGGAGAGGTGCTGGGAGGTTTAGCAGTTTCCTTCAGCCCCAGCTGCACCTGGGAGATGGGCACCCATGGGGGTAACCCAGCTCGGGCCGGGGAGCTCCAGGTCCCTGGGAATTGCCTCATCTCTTGGGGAAAACCCTCACAGCCCCTCGAGCCCATCGGCAATGGGGATGGCAAAGGAAGGCAATGGGACCAGAGCAGGCCTGTCACTCATGTCAGTTTTATTTTCTTAAAGACAAGAAGAAATTGAAAGCACAGATGCTTTTGGGCAGTTTTGAGCAGCCTTCATCCACCTGGTTGCCATCAGGGCTCAGTCTGTCTCAGGGCCAGCTGCTCCTTGTCCGAGGCCCATCTTGGTGAGAACAGTGTCACCGCGTCCTCTTCAGGGCTGTTGCCAAGGCCCAGCGTGGCTGCGGCCTGGAGTCTCTCTCCCCAGGTCTGCCTGGCCCTCCCGCTGCCCTCACAGCCGGCCCCTCTTGGGTGTTGGGGTGGCCTTGGAGGATTCTGGCCTCTTCTTCCTTAGCTGAAGTGCCGGGAGCCGGGGTGTTACGGCAGGGTCCCTTGTGCTGGCTGCATCGGTGGGTACCAACCTCTCAGGGATTGATGCCCAGGCAAAACATCTCTGCCTGGAAGGTCGTCACATCCTGGCAGGGCAGAGCACCACGCCTGGCCCTGGGGCAGAGAAGACCTCAGCAGCAGGGGGGTCCCATTTGACCCTGTTCGGCCCAAGATCTGACACCCAAAAGAACCAGGTCTCCCAGAGCTCAGCTGTTGTTTTTAAACAGAATGAAAGGCACAGAGTGGCTTCAGGTCTCCAGGCACGGGGCTGGGAGGGGGCGCTGCTGGGGCTGTGCTGGTGTGGTACCTGCCGTGGAGCAGGGGGCTGCAAGGAGGAAGGGGCTGCCCTGGCTCCTACTGGCTGCCCTCTGACCGGTGCACACCCACAAGGCTCACGAACCCCACGGTGCAGGGAGGGCCGCGACACCTGGACCCATTTTGCTGTGACTGAAGGTGGAAAGGGGCTTGAACTGGTGAAGGACACAGCTCAGTGCCCTGCTCTGGGGTTGTGGTTCCTCCTGCACTGACCCAGTTCCCTCCTTGGCAGACCTCGCCTGGCAGGGCACTGGGCTGGGGCAGGAGGGACGGACCGTACGACCGGAGCTGGGGCTGTACCGGTACCCAGGGTGCTGCCAGGGCTGCTGGTGTTGGCCGGAGTGGGAGCAGGGCAGAGTGTGCCACCTGAGCTTTCCAATCCCCACTGTGGGGATGTGGTGTGGATAAAAGCAGCTGCAGTTAGGGGAGGGGGTTTGAAAGTTGCATCCCCTGCTAACAAAGGGCTCTGCGTGGTGCCCAGAGACAGGGACTCAGCACTCTCCAGTCCCCATCCTGCCCTTCAGCCACGGGTGCTCTGCCCAGACAGCGTCACCGTTCCTCTATCCTGGCACAAGTTTCTTGCCCATCCAGCTTGCTGGGGACACCAGAGCCACCCTCCCCAGGGACTGTCACCCACAGACACCAGGCAGTTGTAGTGAAAAGCACCTTTGGGTTAAGTGGAGTCTTAAATGAGTCTGAGCCCAGCAGCAGCGCGGGTTAAGAGGCTGAACGCAGAACGCAGATGTAGTGTAGAGGTGGAGCCGGTAAAGGTCGGGAACAGGCTGTGCAGAGCTGTGCCACAGCCCCAGGGCCTGCCTCTGCTCTCAGCAGTAAACCAGAGCCGGAGGGGCGCGTTGGGGCTGCAGCAGGCCTGGCACACGGCGCCCCCATCCCCAGCGCTGCTGCGGGGGGCTGCGCACGCTCCAGCATCGCCTCGGCTGCCGCCTCAGGGCTGCAGGTTCCGTCTGCCTCGCCAAGCTGGGTGCCGGTGTCTGGTGTCAGCCCTGAAAGACGCGGGGCGGGGGGGCCGTTTGTAACAAACCCCTCTCGTGTAACCGTTAGTTGGGTGCCGCAGCGCTGGATCCCAGAAGGAATGTTGTGCTTACGGGCAGATCTCTTCCTCGCTGGCTCCTGCCCCGGCTCCCAGGGGTGGGAGGACACACGGCACGGGAGCGGCGTGGGGAGGAAGCCCTCCTAGCCCAAGGCTGGCACTGCTGGGCACGGCGATGGGAACGGTGAGGCTGCTTCCAGCTAACCCAGCCCGGTGGCATCGCTGCTGCCGCTCTGCTTCCGCACTGGCAGTGAGGGCGGAGGAGCCGGGGGGGCAGGGGGACTGACCCTTTTCCAGCCCCCGTGCTGGGCTGCTGCCGCCAGGCGTTATCTGCTCTTGTCGGCAGGCGAGCCGCCGTAGAGTCGGGCAGCTTTGCGGCAGATGAGCCTGAACCAGTAGAGCTGTGGGGCGATGAGGGAGGCGTTGGCGATGTTGCAGTGCAGGGGGATGCGGAAAGGCACCATGTAAATGGGGATTCCCACCTGCCTGGCGTAGGCCGCGTACATGAAGGGGAAGAGGAGAATCCGGCAGAGGAAGAAGGTCACCAGGATGAGGATCCCGTTCACCTTGTGCAGGAGGGTGTCCTGCATTTTGAGCTGAGGAAGGAAGAAGGTGAACAGGGGGTGAGCAGCACCCTTATTGCTCCCCTGGGCACTGACTGTGCTGGGAGCATGGGGATGAGCACCCAGGAGGTAGGGATGAGGGGGGGAATTCTGGAGGGAGCAGGAAAGCGGGGTGGGAAGCGATGGAGGAGGGTAGGGAGAAGGGAGGCGTTGGGGGCAGAGGGCTGGGGCAGGAGGGAGCGTGGTGCAGGGGGAGGTACAGACAGGAGGGGGCAGCACCAGGACACAGCACGGTTCGGGGATGCCACTGGGCATGCTGCTTACTGGGGGAAAGGGATGGGAAGCTAACAGGAGGCAGGGAGGAAGGCAGCACTGGTGGGGAGCTCGGAGCAGCTGTGGGGCTGCCCCACTTTGAGACCCCCTGAACAGGGGTTGATGGAGAAGGGCAGCCTGCGGCAGAGAAAGGGTATGAACTGCTGTGGGGTCCCCAGAGCTGAGCCCTGTGACCCCCTCACCTACCTGCACGAGGATTTTGCCCAGCGATACAAAAGGGGTGCTCAGCTCTGCTATGAAGATGCAGCCCACAAAGAAGTCCCCCAGCTCTCCCCTGAAGTGCTGCAAAGAAAGCCAGCGGTGAGCCCTCGAGAGGTGGCTGGGAGCCACCCCTGAGCATCCACAGGGCGTCGCGGGCTCCTGGCCAGCAGAGATGCTTTGCCAGACACAAGCCCTTGTAGCTACGTGGGGCTCCTTACGGGCCAGGTTTCACAGCAGTTGTGCCCAGCCCTTACCTGGGTGACGGGGGTGAGCACAACGAGGATGAAGAGGTGGTGGGTCACCATCAGCCGCTCCTGCAGGAGGAAGCTCCGCACGCTGGCCAGCGAATGCTTCGTCTCTGCGACTCCCCTCTCCAGACTCTTGTGCCAGTGGCAGAGGTACATGACGTAAATGTCGTAGGTCATGTAGGGAACGAGGACCCAGATGTACTCTACAGCCAGCCAGTGCCTGAGGGGGAGGCAGCACACGCAGAGGCATCACAACGGCTCTGAGCACCTCACGGTGTTCTAGAAGCCAGAAGAGAGTCTCTAGGTCAGAAACGGAAGGAGTGGATTTTGAAGCTGATGGTAAGCTGAGGGGCGTTCACATTTAACTTGGTTTGGCTCGCCAGAGAAAAGGCACCTGGTACGGGCAGAGGACGCCTCCTCGGCGCTGCTGCCGCTTCGTGCTTGGCTGTGCCGGGCACCGGGCTCAGCCCAGCCGAGCGCAAACACGGCGCTGACGGGAGGATCTTGATTAGCCCCGCAGCCAGGTGTGTGCCGTGCGGGCTGGGGGCACAGCACTGCTCAGAATTCAGCACCAATCCCACACCTTTGCAACAGGTAATCTTCTCCCCTAAGCCCTGGGACACCCAGAGCTGATGCTTGGTAGGAGAAAAGCTCCAAAACTCTGTCTTTTCTGGCTGCCTAATCCAGGGAGTGCTCAGAAGGCACCTGGAGACCTGGGAGTTATTTAAAGATGCCAGGTCTGGACTTTGGAGAGTGCAGTGCAAAATATTTAATATAGGCAATAAACCCCCGCAAGACATTTTTCTGTTGGGAAATAATTGCAGGCAGCTGCCTGTTCCCAAAGCAGGTCATAATTCCAGTTGCACAATCCAGGCAGCTGCAAGCCTTGCTCTGCAGGGACACCAGGCTCCTTAAAAAGTCCTGAGTGAAATCACACTGATAAAAAAACCACCAAACCACAAAGAAAAAACCACCACCCTCTGCTGCGGCTTAAAGAAAGGTAGCTTGGGGCCTAAATAAATCCACTCATGCTGTCCTGCCATCTCTAGAAAAACGTTGTTGTCCGTGTTCCTATTTTGGTAGGAAGATGTAAGTGATGTAAAGCAGGGAGGGGAAGTGGCCAGCTATTGTGTTTGCAAAACTTGCCCAGGGCTTTGGAGGGCAATTATAGTGCCAGCAATAGAATGACTGTCTGCCTGTGTAAATAAATTGGCAAATTTTACTGCAACCTTTGTGATGCTTCCTGGCTTTCGGTCTTGCTGTCATTCTCCAAGGCCTTCCCTGCTGAGCACTGGGCTGTATTTCCTCCAGATTCAAAGAAAATCTAGGTCTCTGGCCATAAAGTGTTTGCATGGAGCTGCTGGCCGGGAGAACACACAGCTCCGGGGAGAAGGAGGGCTGCTGGCAGCACCTTCCATCCACAGGGGGCTGGGATCTAGCATCTACCCTATCCATAGAGCAGATATTTTATTTAAGAGCAAAAGGGGTAACTTAGACTGTCTGGGTTGAATGGGACTGAAGAACTCAGATCTCACTATCTAGAGCAAGACAGGACATTTCACATGACTGTGTTGAAGGCAAGTCTGCAATGGCTGAGAGGGCAGCCCTCCCTAAAATTTACCCTAAAATGTGGTGTGCGATGGTCAAATTCCAGCTCAGCATAATTATATTCTTCCCTCCCACAATTTTTCTCTGCTATTCTGGATAATAGCTCTGTTTTTGAGACTTCTGACACAGATTGTGCTATCACTCCTGCCAAAAGCCACTTCTGGGGCAGTTTATCTCGGAGCATCGAGGACAAGGCGATGTGATTTTCCTTCAGAGCGAACTCCATCCTGATTTTCTTGTTTCTGGACTCCTTCAGAATCCATTTGGCACGAAGGCGGCAATACACCTCTAATATCAGTTCTCACTAGGTCGGCTTGACTTGTCAACAATTTCAGCTTCCAGCAAGGACACTCCCTACCCCGTTAGGAGTGATGATGTCTTTGTTTTTTCGCTCAGCTGTGGGCCCATGTTACAGCCCATTCTCAGGAGGAGACTCTCCCTGCTGGCAGAGCAGCCCCAGGTCTGAGCAAGCCAGCGCCTTTCGGGGGGCGCGTGTGGCCAGCGCATTGCCCAACCCTTAACCCAAAGCGGAGGAAAAAGGAACATGAAGCTGTTTTTCCTCTCTCCTTTGTACATGCAAGCCTTTGGCATAAAACCCTCCGGCCACGAGCCGGCGGGGCGCAGCCCCTGTGGGCTCCTGGGGGGACAGCGAGGCCGCCGGACAATTACCTGTCGTGCACCACATCCTTGCAGTTAAGGACAACCGTGATCCCCGATACCGTCGCCATCGTGGCTTGGACTGTCGACACCAACCTGAAACCGAGAGAGAGTGGAAATGGGTCAACCCCAACGTCACCCCAGAAGGGCCGCGGAGCGGGGCCGGCGGCCACGGCGCGGATGCAGCGGGAGCGCTGCTGGGGCTCAGGACGCCCTTTCCGTGGCACCCTGAGAGCCTCGTCGGGGCGAGGGGGGGGTCTGCCCCCCGCCCGGGCGTGGGACGAGGCCGGGGCGGCTGTGCCACGGGGCTGCCCCCCCGGGGACACGG